ACACCATTGCTGCTTCGAAAGACAGATGGAAGTGGAGGTCCATGATCGCCCACGCCAGTCGGCAAGGCACCGGATGATGATGATGATAACCTCTTTGAACATGCCATAAAGATAATGGTGAAATAAAGATTTTATTGAGAATATGTTTTGATCCATTTCTTTCTGGTGTTCTTAGTAGGCCTAGAATCTATTCTGTTTCATCTTCTTCTTCTTCTTCTTCTTCTTCTTCTTCTATCTTACAAGTGGTTGGGGCAACCGTGAGGGCACCACTGCATCTGAAAACCAGCTCTCGCCATCTATTTTTGTCCTCTGGTTTCCTCAGATTGTCACCCATCGTCTTTTCTGTCCACTCTGTAATGTTGTCCTCCCATCTGTGTCTAATAAGACACAAAAGGTCGCCACGATTTAATAATTATTATTTATTACAAACAACGTCAAAATTTCCACAGACAGAAAACTGGTATGAAAAATCTGGAGCACGATTTTAGATGACGTCAACGCATACTGTAGTTTAGTTTTCTGACAGTTCAGTGTTGCTCATGTGGTGAAATCGAGAATCAAGTGTGTTTTTGTGATGCACCTCGTTAAGACTTAACGTTAAGTCAAGTTAAGTTAAGTCAAACAGATTGATCAACAGATTTTACTTTTGGATTTAGATCTAGATCTAGGTCTAGATAACATCACTCACACCTTGTGAATATCTAGGTATGTTTATCATGTGCTGAGCTTCGGGTTCATCCGTTGCTTGTGAGATAGAGAGCTGTGTTGTGAGACTTCTATACTAGATATATATAGATATAGATCTAGAGAATCTAGATATAGATCTAGATCTAGATTAGATTCTAAATCTAGATTATAGATGTAGATCTAGATCTAGAATCTAGATTTAGATCTATATTTCTAGATATAATAGATCTAGAGATATAGATCTAGATCTAAATCTAGATCTAGATAATCTAGGCCTAATGACCTAATGTCATCGTTATCATAAAATATAAAATTGTTCATTATTCATTGTATTGTCCATTGGGCATTGCGTCGGTGTTGAGCAACACTGATGACTTGTTCCAATATGTGAGCCAATCATTCAATAAACGCAGTGGCTATTTTTACGGCGAGCCGTAAAGATAGCCTCCCAGGCTATTTTTACGGCGTGCCGTAAAGATAGCCTGGTAAATTTTTTCTTTCACTCCCGCACACAGATGCACTGTTTCAGGGGTCAAACTGCTGTACTGTTTGCTGCAGATCACACATAATGCCACTGCCGCAAATCAATTATTTTCAAGACAATTTCAAATCTAACTGTAAAATATCCAATTATGGGTAAAAACAGGGGGGGCATGCCCCCCTGTAACCCCCCAGATTTTCTTTTACCCCAGTGGGGCAGGCCTCCCTGGAACCCCCGGATTGGTCCAAAGCATGTCTATCTCGGTTAAAAATAATCAAATATTTCAAAAACTATTAATTTGCGACGGAAATGAAGTTGATATTCGTGTTCAGCGCATCAATATTTAGTAGAAAATAGACAACTGGTAGCTGAGTGTGAGACGGGAGGGAAAGTAAAAAAATACCGATAGCCTCCCAGTGAGTCCCAGGCTATTTTTACGGCGATCCTCGAAAAGCGACCCTACTCTGCCTCTCATGTACGCGACATGCCTCAATGTATTAGATCTAGGCCTATAGGGACCGTTCAAAATATAAACTTACACCTCAGAGGGGAAAGGGTGTCTTTGGCTGCTGTAAGAAAAGTGGAAGATTGGGTGGGGATGTTAACCAAATATGACACTTCTGTGAGATGAACGTTTTGCTCATGACTGGGAAGAAAAGGTAAAAGAAAAAGTGGATAAATGCCAGTAACAAGACCCAGATCTGCATGATCACTGCAGATCCCCGTTGTTGTTGTTTTTGCTTTTTGTTGTTGGTTTTTTTTTTGCTTTTTGTTGTTGTTTTTTTAGGGGAGGGGGGGGGGGGGGGTACAAATAATTTTGAAATTATGATGAAAATTCTGTAGGTGGACATCTAATTTCTTAATGTTTCTTTGTAACTTTGCAACTGTTTTGTTGATCTTTTAATGTCTTGATGTCTTTTATTTGTAAGTCACGTACCTATTGCATTGACAACAGTCTCAATGTCTTCCACATATATGCGTTTCTTTTTAGTCCATATGGTTTGATTAAATTGTATTAACTGAAATGATATTTTTTTTTACAAGTTAGTTAATAAAAGCCAAGTATAGTACAGGTACCTTTAAAATAATAATGGAAATTGAAGATTGGAAAAAGTACTAATATTAAATTGGTGTAGGTGGGGGTTGGAGGCAAATGTGAGAAAAGTGGTATTGGGTTTTGTGTTTTAAAAAAGTCCCCAAAAGTGTAAGATTATATTTGAACAGCCCCATAGGTTTTCCATTTCCTCCTCTTCACCGTTATTCTATTCTCTTCTTCATCTTCCTTCTCCCTTCCTCCACCACCACCACCTCTTCCTTCTTCTCCCCACCATCATCATTCACCCTCTCTTTATCATCACCACCACCATCACCTCCTCGTCACTATCATTACCATCATCACTGCCACTGCCAGCATCATCTTCTCATTCACTGACATCACTACATGTACCACACCCACAAGAAGAGCGGCCATTTTGAAGTTAACACTTTTCGCCTTTGGAATGCCTTTAAAATGTTCCTCCTTCCTTAATAATTTGCACTGAGCAGATTTTTTATAGAGGTGTAAAAAAAATTTTTTTTGCGTTCACAATGATTAATTTATTAATTATTGTGATGCAATTTCAGGGTACAGGAACACATATATTTTTTTACATTCAAATTTCAAAATTTTGCTCAGTACGATTGACCATAGTATCTGTATCTACCATTCCACCAATTTTCATGCAATTTTGTTAGAGAGTAAGAAGCCTTCGTTTTTTAAAAATTATTGTTTGTTTTGCATGTTGGTGCTGTTTCCATTCCATGGCAACTTTCATATTTTCCGACTTATCAAAATTTACTTTGTTCATTATTTTTTTATGCCTGCATAATTTTTTTTCCTAAATATGAATCGGAAAAAGAATCACCCTTGGGGTGAGCTGTTCCCCGTAAAAATGGACAGTAATAATATGAGCACATCAGAAAACAAAACACAAAAACTTAAAAAATGCGATCTATTTTATTATTTGAAAGAATCCCACAACAACAAGGTCCTAGTAAAGAACATAAAAACATTGAATTGTTTAAGTCCAGAATAAAGACTATAATTATGATAATACTAATAATAGAGGACATTTAATTATAGTGCCTTACTCTCGGTTTTAACCAGCTCAAAGTATGTTACATTAGTTTAGTCATTTAGTAAAATGTAGTATAAAATAACAAATAAGGTAGTAGCCTACAAGACCTACAAGCCAAGACGGAATTTATAAGACTGAAAAACGTGTTCTACGTCATCAGTTTGAGACCGCCGTAAAAACTAAAAGAACATTTCAGTTAATACAATTTAATCAAACCATATGGACTAGAAAGAACGCATATATGTGGAAGACATTGAGACTGTTGTCAATGCAATAGGTACGTGCCTTACAAATAAAAGACATCAAGACATTAAAAGACCAACAAAACAGTTGCAAAGTTACAAAGAAACATTAAGAAATTAGATGTCCACCTACAGAATTTTCATCATAATTTCAAAATTATTTGTAAAAACCCCAAAAAAACCCAACAACAACGGGGATCTGCAGTGATCATGCAGATCTGGGTCTTGTTACTGGCATTTATCCACTTTTTCTTTTACCTTTTCTTCCCAGTCATGAGCAAAACGTTCATCTCACAGAAGTGTCATATTTGGTTAACATCCCCACCCAATCTTCCACTTTTCTTACAGCAGCCAAAGACACCCTTTCCCCTCTGAGGTGTAAGTTTATATTTTGAACGGTCCCTATAGGCCTAGATCTAATACATTGAGGCATGTCGCGTACATGAGAGGCGGAGTAGGGTCGCTTTTCGAGGATCGCCGTAAAAATAGCCTGGGACTCACTGGGAGGCTATCTTTACGGCTCGCCGTAAAAATAGCCACTGCGTTCAATAAAAGCTTGGGTGCTTTTTCGGTAGTCCCACCCCCCTTATTTGAGCCTGACCTACTTCTAGATCTAGATCTATACGTTTGATTCGCGGTGAGCTAAGATATCAAACCTAACAACAGCAAAACATTAAATTGTGGTAAATTTCAGGGGGGCATGCCCCCCTGAAACCCCCCTTCCTATTTTCGTTAGGTCAGAGGGCAAGCCCCCCTGAAACCCCCCTACTCTTGGGGCCAAAACCCGTGAACAATTGCGGGGTGGGAACTACCGAAAAAGCGCCAAAGCTTGGACTTAAAGGTAGAGAGCATCAGAGGTAGATTACGAGGGGTTGGCCATTACTGTTGGTTCAATGGTTAGATCTAGATGAGTAGTGTTAGTTCAGTGTGTACATCAAGTGCTAGATCTAGAATCTAGATGTAGTAGTGTTAGTTCAGTGTGTACATGATCAAGTGCTAGATCTAGAATCTAGATTAGTAGTGTTAGTTCAGTGTGTACATCAAGTGCTAGATCTAGAATCTAGATTAGTAGTGTTAGTTCAGTGTGTACATCAAGTGCTAGATCTAGAATCTAGATGTAGTAGTGTTAGTTCAGTGTGTACATGATCAAGTGCTAGATCTAGAATCTAGATTAGTAGTGTTAGTTCAGTGTGTACATCAAGTGCTAGATCTAGAATCTAGATTAGTAGTGTTAGTTCAGTGTGTACATCAAGTGCTAGATCTAGAATCTAGATGTAGTAGTGTTAGTTCAGTGTGTAAATCAAGTGCTAGATCTAGAATCTAGATGTAGTAGTTTTAGTTCAGTGTCAGTATAGTGTTCTAGCCTACCAAACAGAAAGAAAACTGCAGTAGATCTAGATCTTAGTAGAGTGATAATTATTTCGGAGTGTCTACGTACATGGTAACCGGGCACCTAGATCTAGATCTAGATCTAGTCTCAATATCTATGTACACGGTTACGAAGTGACTATTCGGACTCCAGTCCGAATATGAAAAAATGTTATTCGAACTCTGATTCTTGTCCAGCATGGCATCACTTCCGACTTCCTGTGACTTGTGACTCCGGCTTCCTGCCCTGCCTCACTCGTGACTCGCCTCTGGCTGGGTAGAGACCGGGATCACTTCGGGCAAAATGGCGTTAAATTGTGCCGGAGCCGAGTTTTTATCTTATGATGAATTTGAGGCCGGCCTGAAAAGTTAGAGCGCTTTTAATAAATGTTTATTTGTCAAGAGGTCATCAGAAGCAATTAAAGATTGCATACGCGTCATTCCCCCCCCCCCCCCCCCCCCCCAACCGAGGGGAATGTGATCTTATATAATATACAATAAAAGCTAGTCTTGACGTAGATCTACGTACAGTGGAAACCATATATAACAGGCCCAGTAATAACAGGGATCCGGTAATAACAGGGATTTTTTGAATCCCCTTTTTTTTCTACTCTTTGTCTCTATTAAAAGTTATCGGCTATAACAGGGCCTCATCGGAGCCCAACCGGTTATAGCAGGGACAAAGGCTCGTTAACAATGTGTAAAAAGTAAGAGAGGGAGAGATACAGTGACGCAGTGATGGAGCAAGCCTATGCAAGCCATGCCACTGTGAGCTCACGCAGCGTGTGAAGCGAGAGAGGGCTGCGGTGT